ATGTGTGTGTGTGTGTGTGTGTGTGTGTGTGTGCATAGTAAAATGTCTGTGAGTTCGAGCAGTGTCATTACCTGCATGTGAACTCATTCACCAAACATATTAAAGCATCATGTCTTAGTGAATGTGTTTGCTGGTGTGGTATTATTTTACTCATGGACCCATCTCATGCTCAGATTCTAAAGCACTTTTCTTGTTCATTTTTATCTGCTTAAAAATTTGGACACAATATCCATTGCAAATTATTAGCTTATGAAATGTTTTTATGTTTTTATAGAAACTATAGATTACAGTAAGCCCATTTGTGTAGTAATATGTCACGATGTGGTGGAATCAGGCCCTCGTAATTTTTTTAAGTTATTGGTATTATCCTAAAGCTTGTTCATTTGTCTTGCTGTGGATGAAAAAATTATCCACATTATATCTTGAAAAGAGTTTTGTGAATGAAGGCAGTGGGGTTTACCTGGTTTCAGAGGTAAAATTAGCGAGAAAATGACTGCCAAAGATGAGTTATTTCCTTAGCTTGAGAGTCTGTGGAGACTGAAAATTTTTATTTTGCGTGCGCCTTTGATCAATGTTTTTCAGTAAAATCCACACAGAATTGAGAATGTGTTCTTTAACACACTGTGGTCACTTGCAATAGTGCGCCAGGGAAAATTATCTGTTCCTGTCACCTGGCGTAGCTTTGTGCCATGCCTGAGAAGTCCGACACAGTCGCTCTCCTGGCTGGCTGACCAGATGGGGTATTTTGTACTGCTGTCTGTGTGATTGCAAAGTGTTAATGGGCATGAAAGGTGTAGAACCAAAAAACAAAAATTCGATAAAAATCCACAAATCTGCAGAAAAATGCCAGTTTCTTTACTTTGATTATTTTGACGAGCCCCTGATTTCACCACGACGCCTCAATTGTTTTTAACACTTTGCGGTCACCTGGTGCAATAATGTGCCGGTGAAAATTATCTGTTCCTGTCACCTAGCGCATTTCCGCCCCAGGCCCGAGAAGTCTGTTGCAGTCACTTTACTGGCTGGGTGACCAGATGGGGTATTTTGTACTGCTGGCTATGTGACTGCAAAGTGCTGCTTTAATTTAAAACAACATGGGGGGGGGGGGGGGGGTGTGCTATTATCTGACACAGGAGTGCCTGTGCAAGCAGGTAGCCAGAGGCAACATGACTCTGTTGTTAGAAATTAAGTTGGACTCTGACTGATAGTGATCACAGTTCAATCAGAACTTAAAATTTTATCATTAGTCAGGAAGACGATAAATTTGATATATAATAATATATAGAGTTTAGATTCTAGATCTACATCTGGAATCTAGTCTTCTTACCCTCCTGAAAACTACGACTACTAGATTCTAGTTCTAGAATCTAGATTCTACACTCGGAAGTAGCTCTATCCTCACCAGGGGTGAGAATAGAAATACGATCGACCTCTCACCCCGGATGAGACTTGCCAGGGTTGGCTATTCTCACCCAGTGTGATACAAGACCCGTTTTTCCTACTTTCGGAATAGTCTATCGGAGTGGAAGAACAGCTAGACAAAAACAAAGGACAAATGAAATGCAAAATAGGTTGCTGCCAAAGTCGATCAGTCTTGTTTTCTCGCAGTACCTTTTGAAGGTATTTTCAAAACAAGAATAATCAGGGAACGTTGCCTTTAAAACCACAACTGCACATCTTAATATTCAAACATTTAAAAATCTGTAGCTCTCTAGATCTAGAACTTGAATTTGACGCCAAAAAAAAAATCTTCCCAGTCCTCGCAGAATGGCAGATGAAAGATGACGCCTAGAAATCTCGCAAATAACCAAAAAATCTCGAGAAAGGAAACCATTCGGAGAAATAGAGTTCAAGTTTATTTTCCCGAAAGTTCGGAGAAATTTCAAAATAGTCACTTCGATTTTGTTTTGCCAGGAAGTGTTCTCTCTCTCTCTCACTCTCTCTAGTCTCTCTCTCTTTCTCTCTCACTGCCCACAGACAAAATTGCACGCTTTCAACAAAAGAGAACACTGGAAAGTTTATTCATGATGAACGCTACATTGGTTGGCCTAGATCTATACTATCACTATCACAGTGAAGAAGGCCCGCCTGCACTAACTAATCAACCAAATACACTTGCTTCGGTAAAATTCTGTCGAATATCTAGACTCTAGATCTAGATCTATAGGCAAGGCCAAAGCCCAATTAAATCAAAGCTGCAAATGACGCTGCGGCAAAATAAATCAAGAAGGTAGGTAATAAAGTGTTAGCCAACCCCCGACCCCTCCCCCTCCCGAAGCTTTAAATACCGCGGTGTTGGGTTGGGTCGCGCGTCCTGAACTGAACCTGAAGTCAGTAGCAATTATTTGTGTGCTTGACTGAATAAGCTTGTAGATCTAGAAATACACCCCTTACAGTATGCAACATGTATAATTAGCACTGAATACACATTAAAGACATATAATTACTCACCTGTATTTGCATAATAAGCACGAAGGTCCCAGCCACGTCAACGAGCTCTAAATTCCAATATCTATCAGCTACCACAGCTGTGTTTACAAGTTCAACCGGAAACAAAACAATACAAGGGAGATTACTATGAAAAATAAGTGACCATCGAGTAACGTGCTGGGTTAATTTTCCTTGTCGTTACCAGTACTGACGTTATGCATTGAAAGTACGCCATTGCAGTTGAAACATCTTTTTTCTTTCTTATTATTGCTTAACACATTATTATTATTATTATTATTATTATTATTATTATTATTATTATTATTATTATTACCACTATCATTATCATTATTATTATTATTATTATTATTATTATTATTATTATTATTATTATTATCATTATCATTATCATTATTATTATACAAGACCATAGGGTTATCTTAGACTATGGGTTACCGGACCCCCCCCCCCCCCCCCCGCCGGGGGATTTTGCTCACAATGATTTTCTGAAAGAGAACACTTAGGACTAGATTCTAGATAGATCTACTTACAAAAAAAAGTTTGCAACAGAAATGTTGGCTATCTGCAGAGCTATTGCCCCTGAATTGTCAAAAATTGTGAAGAAATAACTTTCTTTTTCAAATTCACTTTTTGAATAGGTAATCTGACTTTCTTTTAATTGAGGCTTAAGTTGGAGCTCTGGGTTAAAGAAAAACAGTTATACTGATATTTTTGGGGTAGTATTTTACATAGCATATAGCAAAAAATGTTTAAAGTCCGTTTTCTCTAAAAATCGAAAACAGCCGCTCAAAGTTAGCTTAATTGGGTATTGCACAACAAAGGAAAAGCTGCACATGCAAAATATGTAGTTCAACAAAAAATCAGTATGCCTACAATGCAGAGTTACACAGCAATTCAGTTATAGCCATTGGCCATATTATATGTGTACATGATGTATTATTGAGTAAACTCGTACAAATAAATAATTGAGAAAATGACCATTATAACATCTAGAAATTGACTTGCCTAGGACATGTAACAGAAGTGAGTAGCTTGGGTGCTATAAGTTATCCAAATTTTGTACTGTAAGTCAGTCGGTGTTTCATGTAAAGTCTTACAAAGATGCTTTGTATGTCATCAGTTCATTCACTGCTGTCACTTCCAGTATCTGAAATGTCAACCTCTACGTCACTGATATACATGTAATAGAGGAGATCGTTTTCATCTTGTCTTCCTCTTGTTCTGAATCTGTTCCTGTCAATATATATATATATATATATATATATATATATATATATATATATATATTTATTTTTTTATTTTTTTATTTTTTTATTTTTTTATTTTTTTTTTTCTGTAGACAATATGAAAAGCTGCCCAAACACGTTTCCTTGTGCGGTTACTTTCCTCTCCTTTTTCTTTGTTGTCTGCAGCTTAGTTGTCTTTTGTTTTGAAGCAAAAATCAGTTTCAAGTTTCTTTTGAGAGGTGCATGGAAACTCTCAGCTTGTTCAATGAGGGTAGTCTTGACAAAATTTTCATATAGCTGTCTTTGATCTTTTTCAATGATTGACAAAAGATCTGCTTCTACTTCCTCTGTAGCTTCCATTCCTCAAGACAGAGAAATCAGTTTGTCATTTCCAACAGTGCCAATGGGTTGCTAAACGATTCAAAAGATTGCTTGACACATTGTACACTTTTCTCTGATAGTCTCATTTGTGATTGGTGGCGGTCTTTGTGTTCTTGATCCTTACTGTCCAGTCCAGATTCTTCCAACAGGAAGTGACAATGCTCGCCCATTTAGATCTATGTCTTGTCATGCACAACTTGTGGTTTGCAGCAACATTTTGACTAAAACCAACAATGTCACCCTTACATTTGGCTTGGCACCTGACACTCTTGACCTACGCACACTGAATTCTTTGCGTCGCAAAAGCTCTTCGGCACCAGGATGAGAATCTTTCAGGTTCAGTAGAAGGATGATGTATGCAGAGAAGTATCTAGCATAGTTGGGGGGTGGTCTATGCTAAAGAAAAGGGGACACATCTGCTCAAGACAAGTTATGTGCAAGTCAAAGTCATTTCTCTTTGTTGCTATAAGAAAGTTGAGAACTTTCCACACTGCATCTATGTACCTCATCCAAAACTGAGCAGTTTTTCCCAGTTTCCCGTGACAAACATCCAGTTTGAATTGACTATAGCTCTGAGACAAAAGTACACATGACGCCTCTTTGCCCACGTTTTTAAAATGACGTGCAGCAATTTTGAATTTTCTTTCAATAGCAAAGGTTGTAACTCCTTAACTCCTAGTTCTTTTGCATAAAATCCTTCTCATTTTGTGCCTGAAAGTGTGTGCTTATCAGAAAGCTATTGTACCGGTTAAAGAAGATGTGAAGCAATGGAATTGATCATTTCTATAGATTTTGAGAAATCAGCCTTTAAGTTTTCTTTTTTCCTCTTTGCACCTTGTAATTAATTAGCAAAATCATTTTTTACAACACTTACACGATCTTATAATATTGAGTTTAGCACCATTTGAAAGTACACAGTTTTGGCTTCACAGAGAACCCCAGCATAAAAATCAAGTATTTTCTTAATTTCTGGACAATCAAAGGCCGTAACTGTAGATTTTGGTGCAAACCTTTTTTTTTCTTTTTTTTTTGGGGGGGGGGGTGAGTCCCTAGGTCCTACTGTCCTACCATTTCTTAAAATCATGGTGGTGAAAAAATCTCCGGGGGGGGGGGGGGGGGGTTCACCCCAGTAGCCCATGGCCTCTCTCCTTTATAAACTAGTAGTAGATCAAGTGTAAATATCTATGACCAAGACTTAAAAGTTTCTGTCACATATCCTAAAACTAATATCCAGATATTTTGCACCCTGAAAATATTCTGAAAAATTTTAACACAGATCCTTCGACATGTGATAGCCTTCATAGCTCCTCACAGGCGCGCTTGGAGAGCTACAGCAGTCGCATCTGGCAACGAGCCGTTATTAACATGAGGCTTCATCATCATCATCCGGTGCCTTGCCGACTGGCGTGGGCGACCATGGACCTCCACTTCACCCTGTCCTTCGCTGCAGCAATGGTGTCTGTTGTTCTTGCTGCTCCCAACCATGTTGTCATCTTGTCCAGTATCTTTTCCCTCTGTCTGCCTCTGCCTCTCTTTCCATCAAACTTTCCTGTTGTGACAATACTCTCTAATGCTTCTTTCCGCATTGTGTGTCCGAAGAAATTTACCTGTCGTTTTCTTATATTCGTGATAATTTGTTTTCTAAAATTTGCTTCAACCAGGACTTCTTCGTTTGTTTTTTTAGCTGTCCATGGGATACGTAGCATGCGTCTTATGAACCACAACTCTGTCGCTACAATTGTTCTTCCCAGCTGTTTATTGATTGTCCACGCTTCGCACCCGTATAATAGGATTGGCTCGATGTAACTTTTCAGTACTCTTTTCCTCGTTTCCAGTGACAGATTGATGTTTGTTAGTATCTGTTTCATCTTGTGGAAGGTTGTTTTTGCTTGGCAAATGCGGCTTTTAATTTCGGTGTGACATCTACCATCTGATGATATAATGGTCCCCACGAGGCTTCACGAATAAGAAATAAGCCTTCTAAAGCAAAGACGTTCACGCCCCAGAGCTGGGCCTATCCATGAGTGGAAATGAACCTTTTAAATGTTTAGAAAGTGGCAAATTTTTCTTTGCCAGATTTGGTCTCACTGGCCATAGCAGAAGCCAGAGGGTCAAACACAGTGGAATCCTGTTATAACGAGAGGGATGGGACTGGTGGAAAATATCCGTTATAGCAGGATTCTCGTTTTAAGGAGTCCAGTGATAAACTCAAGGGAAATGATAAAGTAGGCCTGATCTATTAGTTCAGTGTTCTGTTTGTATCTTTGTATAATCTCCCTGGGAGATGATTTGTTCAACACGACCTCTAGGTCATAATCAGAGGCGAAGCGTCTATATAATCAAATAATCACTGCTTCCCTTCCTAATTTTGAAACATTGTCGCAGTCAAATTCACCCATAGACGTAAACCTCATAAATTAAATGTAAAAAGACGTTCATAATCACCAATGAACAATAGACTATGCCTGTTCGCCCCTATCGGGCCACTCCATAAGCAGTCACAAGCTTTGATTAAGTAAGCTTAAAGTGAGGCTGGAAGAGTCAACCAATAGATTTGAAGGGAACATGTGCATAGCAGTCAGAACTGTTTCATTGTCGCATATACCCTGTTCACCCCTTTCGGGCCACAGTTATAAGCACCCAGACGCGCTGATTATCTAAGCGAACTATTACACTGGTCGAGTCTACCTCACAGATGTGAGGGGAACTAACTCCTAATAATCCTTTGACTCCTGCTACTACACTGCTAGTGCTTGTTTTTTTCCTCGACTTTTTAACGTCCTATAATCAGATCGTGACCTCGATTATGCTCCTGGCCGCGAAAAGCTAGACAAAAAACAGCCAAATGTGAAATAAATAATTAATAATTGGCGTGCTCTACCAAAGTGTTTCGGCTGTTTGGTATAACATGCCATTGTAGTGCTGACATCTGTGCTTCTTTCCTTGGTGTTCGTGTGTTCAAATCTAAAGTTAAATTTAAGGTTAGTTAGAATAAATATTTAATGAAATACTTTCCCGATTATTTTAGCGGTTGAACAAGCATACAACATGAATTCAGGATTTGTTTTCATTCACAACTCAGAGTTGCCGCCTCCAGTGCCAGTAAGATTCTTGTAACTTGTGTGGGTGTGATATCTCCAGGCCCTATCTGGTCCCATTTCACTTTGATTACCCTGTCAAACAAGTCAGCCTTCGCCCCTGGTCATAATTGATCTAAAATCGAATCAGGTTTCTTTCTCTAACGCTAGCGATGTTGACAGCTCGGCGTTGGCTATCATAAAGAAAGGGCTCTAGGCTAACTCGCCCGCTGTGTTGCCCCCCCCCCCCCCCCACCCCACAACACCCTGTGGTGCCTTCCGTCTGCTTGCACATATTGGTTAAACATTATACGTTCTTATACTATCTCTAACCGTCTAGGTTAAACACCAAACCCTGCCCACGTCACACACTCACTCCATCCATCACAGCATTGTGACCTCTCCATTCCCGCTTCA